GCTGAATACAATGAATGTGATGTTGCCGAGGTATCCGAGGTTGATGAAGACGTTGACGACGTTTCCGAACTATTGAAATTGTCATTCTCATTACAATTATCGAGCTCATGTTCATCGCCATTGTCGTTATCGTTGTCATTTGTATTGTTGGTTGTGGCCGAGGCGCGCGAAATCGAGCGGTTATTAGCCGGAGTTGTTGTAACGGTAGTGGCAGTCGTTGTTTGCGTCACCGTGGAGGAGAATGTGTTATCCTCTTCCATTGCGATATTTACGGCAGTTCTTTCGCTCTCATTTGTTGATGTAATGCACACATTTTGAGCGATGTCCACGCTTTCTTCGCCCGCCTCTACTAGACGACTGAGCCCGCTATTTTCATTCGTATCGCTATCGAAATTTTCTGGCTTTGTCAAAGCGTCCAACTCCTGCAACTCACCCACCTGTTCTGTACATGAGGGCATTTGCTCAGTACCATTATTGGTATTGCCATTTGTGTTCAATAAGTCGTTGCCCTTTTCGCAGTCGATTAGGTAGGCAAGTGTTTTATTAATCTTTTCCATGGTGCCGCCATGCTTTTCTTGTTCTTTGAGCGCTTGCAAGCGACGCTGCAGTTCTATCAAATTTTGGCTGTCATCACTTGAGTATTCAGAGTCTGAGCTCATGGCTTCCGTTTTGAAGTGTTTGGAGTCATCACTTGGCGCCTTATTTGTGCTCGGACTCAGCTTTCGCTTTCGACTATTCGTGCTGCTGATGTTCTGACCGCCACTGTTGCTGCTACTGCTGGTGGTTTGCTGTGGTCCTTTCCTCCGCGAACGCTTTGATTTCGTGTTTCTTGTACTACGTTGCGATTTCGTACGGTGTCTTTTGACATTGTAATCTTCATCATCACTATCACTGCTGGTCGATGTTGAGTCTGTATTGGACGACGTGCAGCTGCTCTCATATATTCTCTTGCCTCTGTGCATTGTAGTAGATGTTTTTGGTTGGTTTTCGTCTTTGCCTCGATTGCTGCGCAAGTTGCGTTTGCGGCGAGAAGCTGTGCTACGTCGTGAACGCTCGTAGATTTCCTTTATACCTCTACCCCCACCGGACGATCGCAAGCCCGTTGAGGTGCTAGCACCTATATTATATAACTCCTCACGATCGCGAGCCGTGTGCGAGTCGGCCTCTCCCAAGCCGGTTGTTATTTGTATGGTTGAACTGGTTTTGTTATCTTCTAACTCTCTTTTTTGTTCTTCGTCGTCGACACTGGCAAATGTGGTTTTCCGCAAAGGTTTTGATTCATCCACGAATACCACATCAGAATCACTTTCTGAATTTAGACTGACAAGTTCGGGTGTACGAAGGTGTGGTGGCTTGCGCTCCAATACGAACTCGCATTCATCACTACTGCTAGAAGTGAGTTCAATATTTTCGGTAACGGTGGGCTGTAAAGGTCTATTAACTGAGGAGCTTGATGCTGTCGCTTCTTCGGCTGTAGAAGTTGAAGCTGCAGCCGTTCCCGCAGAAGCACTGTCGTTTGCTGCACGCGAAGTCCCCGGCTCAAAGGACGCTTCAAGGTCATCCAGATCAATAATATCGCCACTGACACGATTATGTGTACTTAGATTAATCGCTGCAGATTGTCCGCTTCGTCCATTTATAGAAACTGTGACGCCAGGTGCCTCGGTACCTTCTGAGGTAGTACTCACCGTGAATGATAGTAACGCTCCTACTGATCCACTAACCGAAGAGTTACCTGAGCGTGATAGCACGCGAAATTCTCCGTCGTTACGTGTACGAGAATTACGGCTTCTCGTTCTACGTTCATTGTCATTTGAACCATTTCCTTCATCTGACGATGCGGACGATGAGAACTCTATAACGATCTCCTCAGGTGTTTGTGGTAAATAATGTACAGCTCGATCATAACCGATCATGTCGTAGGGTGAACGCGCGAAATTATTTAATTCGTGTATGAAATGCGAAGTCTTTGCTCCAAGATAAGGTTGCAGACGGCGTCGAAATGCAGGCGATAAAATATTTGTTTGCAGAAGACTCTCATTGATACGTTCTAGTAGCGAAGATACATTATGCTCCGTGTTGCGTAACAAGCAAACAATGTCACGATTGATCCATGGCATAAGTCGATGCACTTGCGCTGGATTATCCCTATTAGTCGAAAATATTAATATATATAAAAATAATAAATGAGTGAATACAACGTAAATACCTGTAAAATCTGGCTGTACTTTCACGGAATCTTCCCGTTATATCACAAACTGGTAGGGCAAAAAGCCGTCGATCATATATAAAACGACGCCATAGTTGACTCAAGGTGCCACTACTAGCTATAGCATCTGGTTCCTCTTGTCGGTACATATCCAACAGTTCGTTGCGATAAACGAGATGATTATACACGCTGGTTCCGTTGGAACCATTACCATGTTCTCCATTAGATGTGGCATCAGACATAGCAGAAGGATAAAATATACCGCTGCTGGCGGGACGGATGCGATGAGCTGAATTTCGACGCCGCGGCAACTCCCAATCACGTCTGCAATTTATTTTTGTACAATCAGCAAATAATAATGTAGGCGAAAAAAGTAACAACAATGTCACCATTTATTGTTTGGCAGAGATTATATCGTAGCATCGTTATATTATACTTACCCTTCCACGACAACTGCATCAAAAATATATGGCAAACTCCGTAGAGTGACCTCCACAGGACGATGTGGAATTTGTACGGTGGGCGGCTGTACATGGTACTCCTCAAACTGATCAATCGACTTCACATTATGTATTATAGATTTGAATGTCTGCTTGCAAAGTGGACACTCCGGTTTTACCTTTAAAAATTTATAATTATTAACATGTAATAACCTCTTTGACAACTTAATAACTTACCTTGCTCCATTCACACAGGCACTTGAAGCAAAACTGATGCATGCAGGAATCGGTGAAGCATTTGTTTTTGCAACGTCCTAAGCAAATTGCGCAATTCGGAGGCGGTGATGCCGCCCTTCGTGCATCACCATTATTGGCTGCCTCACCCTCATTTGTGCCTTGATTGTTTTCGTCGCCCTCACTTTCGCTACTGCTGGTAGAGAGCTCAAATAATTTTATACGCATTAGAGGAGTTAATGTTTGTGGTAAATTTAAGTCCTCAGCTGTAGCTGGTGCAAGATTTCCATGTTCTGGTACACTTTCATTGGCACTGGATGTGGAACTGACAGCATTATTATTGTTACCTTCAATTCGTTCAGTTGCTCCTTGCGAGCTTCGCGCTGAACCTGAACGACCACGCCGGAACGTATTGGCCGACATGGCCGAAGTTCGTGCACTTGAATCAGCAGCTGATGCTGGCCGTATATTGTTGGATAAATTAATGTATGAGTCTGCGGGTTCACTAGTAACTGCCGTACCCTCAACTACAGCTGGGGTAGACATTTTGATCTATTTAAATTTTTACGTTTAACAATTAATTACTTGTTTTTTCTATTTAATATTTAATGAAAATTTCTGCTCGTATGTGAACTTTATAAACTCGCACTAAACCATCGGCTGCAATAACAATTAGGTGGTAGTCGATGCGAGTTATACTCTGAATAATGTGCTTATGCGATGTACGTGCCTCGATGTTTTGTTAAACACTATATTCTTTTCAATTACAAGCAAATATTCTTAATTTGAATTTTCTATCGGCAAGTTTAGATCAGTACAATTTTTTTTTATTTTACTTCACTTTTGACTTTTATAAATTTGTTATTACTTCATTTCGTATATGCTTCGCCCTTCTTTCTCACTCTCCGCACTTTTGCATCAAATGAATAATCTCGATATCCGCTTGCAAATTTTCACGTTGTTCGAGGACCATATTCCAAATGTTCTTTTTCGAAACATGTAATTTTTTAGTTCTAAATCATATTTATACAACAGATTCCAGATTTTTACATTTTAATAGAGAGAAAATCAATATTTAATCTTATATTTTCAATATTTTTTGCACCATACACAGAAAGTTTGGTAACTTTTTCGGACGTTTCTTTGGAATAGGCGAATGGTTGTATAGCTTTGTTCGATTTGCGATGAGAGCAAAGAAGGCGCATGCAGTAAAAAATTTAGTAAGCCAGCTGATTGTTGCTTGATGCAGAGAACGTTGTTTTCAAATCATAGGTACGTGTCTTGGATGCAAGCCGCCACCAGAAAACGATATTATGATTATGATATACGTTCTCTAGCTGATAAAATATCTATTTTTGATGTTCAAATCATTAAAAATTTAATGATTCTGATTAGTTACTTATAATAACAAAAATAAATTAATTAAACGTGATTCACACCTAATGTCCATTAAAACGATATGAAAATTTCTCCATATTAAAATTACTTTTTGTATACCCCTACCAATACATATTTTGTCATATATGTGGAATCTTTAGGACCACTGTTTTTCGGTTAGTAATTAAGATTGTTAAAAAGCAAATCTTTAAATTACCTTAACACGGGACCATAACAAAAGTCGATAAAGCAGGCAACTACATTACAGGAATTCTACCAAGCCCAATACACATTTGGCAATGATAAATGTGGCTTTCGTTAAATGCTAGCCAGTGTGGTTGTAGTTCACAAAATGACGCCTTTGAAAACTTACCCCTATATTTCAAAAAATAGTAACTTATCCATTTGATAGACTCGAGCAAAATGTACTCTTTTTCAATCAAATTTGTTATAATTTTTATTTTTCCATAGCGATTTCGAACATATATCGATAAGTTTTTGTTTTGAAAATATAATAGTATTACAATTGGATCTAAGGTATTAATTTATGATTTCAAATAAAAAGAATGTAATACTGTAAAGATTATCGAAGAGATTTCCATTAAATCTATAACCTTTGCACTTTGGATACTCTTTGGCCATTGATATTGGCCAAGAGAACTGTATTGAAAATGCATCGTTTAAAGCAAAAAATCATAGGATAAAAAATTATGTGTTGCATTAGTTTTCACTATTTATTTACCTACAATGTACTTATAATATCTGGTCCAAATATATTTTAATATGACGCCATAGTGCAACTTTTAGAAAAGCGCTACGGTAACCCTGATGTGAGCTTAACGAAAGGTTGAAACCCATTGACAGATGCAAGCAAAAGACTGTTTACAGAAAAAAGTGGCGCTTTGCTAAAATATTGGTGAAAAACATTAAAATCTTGGTAATCTCGTTGAAAAAAATCAGCAAAAATTGCGTCGGAAGGGTCTGAACAACAACACAAGATGGATAGGCGAAAGAAGCGCACATCCACAAATCAATATATGATGTACTTGGATATGATGGAAAAGGACTCTATATTCGCAACAGGACGCATTCCACGGGATGTTGAGAGCAATTATTTGCACAAAAAATGGAAGGAACTTTCCGATAAGTTGAATACATGTAACAGTGGACCAACGCTAACAGCAGAAGAATGGCGGAAGGTAGGGCTTACATATTTATATATGTATATAGGTATATATAATTAAATATATATATATGTTACTAAAAATCATTTTAATTTTTAACCAGCGCTTAAATGATTGGAAGAACACAACCCGCTGTAAATATAGGCGAAGCTTTTCCGGCGAAAAAGATATATCATTAACATCTCTAGAATTAAAAGCACTCGATCTTTTTGGCAAAGTGCCAAACACTTCATCGGAACCAATGAGTATAACCCTAAAATGTGAGAAGGAAGATCCAGACGAAGAAAAAGAACATCAGCGAACATCTGAATCTCTGCAAAAAGAGTTGCAAGCAGCTGTTGAAGAAGCTATATGTGGCGATGATGACGAAGATGTCATGCAGGATGACAGCGAAGACCAGGAAGATATCGTAGAGCATGCAATGTCAAACAATGTTCAAACATCTGTAGGAAATTCGAGTACAACAGGAAATGTGGAGACTACGACCTATCGTACTATTGTGGTGGAGAACGCGCAATTTACAGATGAAGAGCAGAACCAAGATCATTTGGAGTTTATCACACAGCGACGTCACACTTTGGGAACGTCATCCACATCGAGCAATGCCGTGGCAACCGCCGTGCAGACAACGGTAACAGCGGCACCTCCAATCCAAGCCAATGTCACAAAACTCATCAATGGTGAAATGCCGTTGAAACGGTTGCGCACGCAGCCTCCCACCGAACAAGTAGTTTACGAAGGTATAAATTTTTCCGCATTTGTATAATTTTCAGTTTTCAGGCAATGTTATTTTTTTAACAAATTATTTACATATTTCTTTAGTTAAAAAGGCGCCAATAGTTCAACATCCACAACCGCGAACCATAACCATACGTAATACTGCAGTGCCGCAAACGGAATGTAACAACAGCAGTAGCAGCAGCCAATTGATGGCCTTGAGTAGTCTTACATCGCCAGATGTGCGTGAAATAGCACGACAACTTAAACGCATAGCGGATGTTAAAGCTGAGAAGCTGAGATTCGAAATAGCACGCTTTAAATTCAACAATCCAGGTTTTGTTTATCATTCACCTACATTATAGTATACTTATATTAGAGTATACTTACTATAATTTACAGTTTGCAACGGAAATGCAATAAATTATTCACGAAATTTTGTTATAAATATAAATTTTCTACTTAGTTGTAATCGGCCCAAATATTATACTATATCTTACTAAACGACTAGAAGTAGTAGATCTAATGCATTACACAGTCCTAAATTAATTGATTATTCCAATCTCCATTTTGTATTTATCATTTATTATAATAAGGTAATTTAAGTCTCAAAAATAAGTTACATAATTATCCTATTTGCAAGCCTGGCTATTGACAAGAAATCAGTAATATTCCAGAACCCTACCATATGAGCGTCACTCAAATGCCATAGTCTCCTTTAAAGTCATAGGCACTTTGATTACACACCTTTGCTACTTATTTAATACATGTTTTTAGTTTCAAAACCGTATTTCATAATAACTAAGCGAAGTTATTTTCGAGGTCCTCTTTCGGTCACATGCGTGACATGCGTGGATTTGAAATTGGAGTCGAAGTAAGTGAAAACTTCTTGCAAATAAGAAAACTAAATTAAGTGTACAATTGGTTTTAATTATATGTATGTATATGTTACAGAAATATTTTAACATATGTAATACACATGTGTATGAAATTTTAAATAAATAAATTTCACTATAAAGTTAACTTGTTGTTGTACGCTTACTTACTGTGCCAAGGAGCTTTACCTTCCCATTCTTTATGCTAGATTTTGCTCACTCAGGGTTGCTATGGACTTGAGACTCTTTACCAAGAACCTTATCGCGGTTGCTGTTATAGTCGATCGATCGAAACGATCTGGGAGATTACACTGGTTTCTTTATGTGGTTAATTGCAGTGAATCTGCCGACTGATATATTACTCCATCCACTCCATTTTTAATCAAATTCAACTAGGGACCCGCGCTCATTTGCACTTCATACAGAAGTTTGTTAGTACAGTGTTGTTTTTGGACTATTCAACATTATTAATCCTGATATATCTTTAGTAGATCTGTAAATAAAGTGTCATCTTGTAGTTTGACAGCTATGTTTTTATTTCTATAATAATTTCCTCACATTCAACTATCAAATCTTAAAGTAAATTTCTTTTAAAAATGCATTTGCAGTTCATTAATATATACATACATATGTATATAGCAACTTCATCAAATCCTCAATCACTTTAAAGCTCGAGAATTGATGATCGACGTAATTTCACAAATGCTTTATGAACATAACCAATGACTCACAAAAATATTGCCAATGATAAACATTTTGTTTGCTTATAAAACTTGCAGTCAACTGGCAATAATTATTGCCAGTCGAGGCGGGCAGCTAGAAGCTTTTCATTTCGCTTGAATACCATATGCTCGTCCTATCAGCAGGTAAATTTTGGCACCCTGCTCAGGTGTGTGGGTGTGTGTTGGCATGAGCTCCTAATAAGAGCAACGTTTGCTGGGAATCACTTGCGCGGGAGTGTAAAAATCTTTATGCGAGCGATTACTACGCTTGATCTCTCAAATGGAGGAGGGTCAATTGATGTTTGCGATGACGTGGTCAACAAGCAACCGCAATAATAACAAGAACATAGCAACACTTGATAATAACATTGTTGATGGCTCAAAAAAGAAACTCGAAGTTCAGTTGAATGGTGAAGCAAGCAGGGTACCGTGTTAAAAACAATAACAACAACACTAGATGTAATGGTGCATCTATTGCAATTGCAGTCGATAGTTTTTCGGTGTTGGCAGCAGAACTTTTCTCGTTGCTGTTATTGTTGTAGCAATGATTGCTCTTGCACCATGACCATAGTTATTTGTTTCGGAATTTTAAGCAGCCTCCGCAGCAGCAACAAAGTACCGCTTGTAAATGTGCAAGCACCTCTACATATTGTACATATGCATACATACATAATCACACAAGTAGCTGCAGTTATGGCTTTTGTCTTTTGCCTCAACATTTCCGTGATTGCCGTCACTGTTCACAGCTCTGCTGTTGTTACAGTCTTGTCCGAAATTGCATTCCTTTAGCTGCGGGCGGCGAATTCTTCTCGTGTCTGCCATCACATTCCGGCAACTGTCCCCTGCCTCTGCTTAAACAGCATCGTCAACGCGACCATCATCGCGGTCACCGTGGTCACCGTCACCGCCACGGCCGCCAACAACACATTTTCGCTGATCTCCAAAGTTTAAAGATTCTTCACAGTAAATTGCATCGATGGTGCGCCTCACGTCGGCTGTGATATATCACAATGATATTTCTCTATATAGCAGACCAGAACACATATAATATTTTGGCTCAAGGGCTCTCATGCGATTCGCTTGCCTCCCTGACCGCATTTGCTTCGTTCTCGTTGTCATGTTAGAAATTTGCAACTTTTAACTTTTTCATCTTCATTATAAAATTTTTTGTTTCGATTTTCGGCAGATTTTTACCCTCTCATAATAAAACGTCTCATTTCGGCTTAGGTTTTTGTTTTATTTCATTCGTTGTGGTGAAGTGTCTGAAATTGTGATTTTTCACCAGGCGTTGTGCGGTTAATAAAGAAGTTACGATAATTTATTGCACACAGAATGAGGTTGGGAAAATTCGCTTTGGCACTTTGGCACTTTGGTGTTCACTGGCACTTCCCGAATTGACATAGCTGCTGGCCAGCACATTTTAGTTGGCCGTTAAGTGAGTTGTCAAATTGGCTAAGGAACAGCGAAGTGTATAAATTGTGCAACAAATTACAATGTCAGCAATTCTGTTCGATGAGCAGTGATTTAACGGTATAAGGATTTGGTAAAACTACTAACATATTGTATTAACAAAAATAATATAAAAAAGGAATATAATATATATATAATACCTATTTGAACAAATTTGCTTCATAATATTCTGCTTAGATTCTCTTGAAACTGTTTTAAATGAATACATACTTTGCTGCTATGATATATGGCAGTTCTGATCTAGGTATGATCGAAGTCGATGCATACTCCTATTTACCGAAGATGAATTCTCCATCGTTTCATATCATTTAGTAAGAGATAGAATGGTGCTCTTACATAATGTTATATGTTGACAAAAATGTATGAAATCGGTCCACTTTCCACTATTCCCCACATATCCACTGTTATGATTTCCATCTCTTTATTTTGCTTCATACCACGCAGATCGGTCAGTGCATAATGTGTAGATGCAGAAAAAAAAAAAGATGAACAGTTAATAAGATAAACATAAAATTAAACCTTAGTAGAATATTACTCGCCTCAAAATGAGATCAATTTCAAAACTCTTCTCGCAGATAGAGGTTTACGAAATTATATTTTCTTCCCAGCACTACGTTCGCGCTGACGACTCATTGCTCCCATTGGCAACTCCAGTTCCAATTAGTATTGCATGTTTGGATTTCCTTTGCCGTTAGCCATCATTTATTCAGAAAGTTAGCTGCCAACGCATTGAAGGGCAACATGCGAGTCATTTATGTATGTGCAACAAATGCAACATGTGGCAGAAAATGCCGACTGTGTGTGCAGTGTGTTTTGGTTCATTTTCTTCATTCGCTGCTTAAAAAGAGTTGACAAAGTCAATTCGAAACAATGACGACCATCAGATTGCCGTTCTGTGCTGTGCACAGATTGTTTGCTATGATGACAGCAACAGCTTAAGAAACTGGAGTGAATGGTGGAACATGGGATGGCAACGTCACAGATGCCATTGCAGAGACACACTCCTCAAATGGCCCATGCGACAGTGTCAGAGATGTAGACGAACGGCAATTGAAGCCGCGTAATGTAGACACACATACATATCTACATACTTGCCTTATTTAGTAGAGCTCTTTATCGTATGCATGTGTATATCCGACCCAAGTATGATACGCGTGCTGTGTAGTACAACAAATTGGCAACAATAGTTGCCATGCTAATCGCTTAAAAAAGTTGTTTAGAACACTCCTAGTTTGTGTGATTGAATTATTTTAGTGAACAATTTGCGAGTAGATTTGCACTGGCTATTAATGTTAGGTAGTGGGAAATGATATGAGGACTCGGAAATGTTATCACTTCAATCTTGACATATGAAAACTCGTTGTCATTCCCCAGACAAAGAAACTTGAGGTTTGGACATGTTGGGAGGCGCTGAGAAGGTCTTGGGGCTATTCTTTCGTCAGAGAATATATCCATATAAGCCATAAAGCAGAAATAGCTTAGAAAGTTTGCCATTATCTGCCGTGGGATGATCGCTATTAGATCAAATCCTGATCATGTACTAAGTTCGGTCGGGAGAAATTTCTTTATGAAATGTATTCTACACTTCGTTTCTTTTGATATTGTATATGTAATTTGAGCTCCTGGGAAGGAGTACCGTCATATGGAATTTCTTCACCACTCTCTGCATAGGGCGGGACCCTTCCAACCTTTCAGCTTCGGAGCTTTCGGAGAGGAGGTGGTAGTCTTCTCGTTCTTACAGTCGATGAGCAGTAGAAGAAAGGAGAATACCCCAACCGCTTATAAATCTCCTCCATGATGGTGTGTTGTAGATCAATGAGCTCCTCTGACGCCAATACCTCTGCCAGATAATTGAGAGGCTGCACTGCGAACCGTAGGGCATCAGGGTACGTGCGCTGAACCTCCACCACTTATGTGGGGTTAGGAATCGAGTCAATCCCTCCGATCACCTGCGGCAGACTCCTCTTTTGCCTCTAGCAATTAGGTGGCTTTTGAGGCATTTTTTGCCTGCTCTATCTCTTCGCGGCTTGCCCTTTTAATTGTGAGCTATTGCCCTTTTAATATAAAATAGAAATTCGATAAAATATAGTCTGTGAAAAAATTAATAATATCTATAGCAAATTTATGTTTTTAAGTTGATTCAAAAAAATATGGAAGCTGTAGTCATTATAATTTTTAGTACGCTTCTTCTTACACATAATATTTATTTCTTCCTTAAGTGAACAGCTTTCGGAGCGACCAGAATAACTTTACTGCCTCTTTTAAAACGTTTATGTGAATCCACGAAATCATCATTTGCTTATCTGGTTGCTTAATCTTTCGCCCTTGTTTATCTGAAAATCCACCCGTCTCTAGGCCACGAATGAGCATACCCTTCAACTGATGATATCTAAACGAACGTAGTATCCAATTATACTAATTTTGTTTTATCTGGTGCAATCAGGAAAACGTAATAACAGTTTTAGGCTTTGGGTTTATAAAAATGTTAAAATCACTACTTCTGGATCACGGCTCAAATACTCACAGATGCGAATTTCTTCAATTTGACATTGCTGTGCGGCAATATCTAATGGCATTGACTCCGGCCCCATTTCACCGGTAGCTTGTAGTTATAGCTGTTGTTGTAAGAAGGCCGTGTGTTGAGAGGTGCAGTCAAAATAAAGTAAAGAA